GGTCAAAAAACCCCATTACATTAAATTACAGTTGATTGGTAGGAAGTGCTCTGATTGGGGTTGCTCCTACCAACTCATCGAAATTTACATTGAAAAATATATGGCTACGTACTCGTGTCCCTTTTGCAAGGGCATTGGCATAGATATTAGAAGGAACAATGTTGGTTTTCTTATTAATGGAAGAAATTTTGTCTTAATTTTTTTGATGCACTAGGTTTCAGATAAAAGGAACACATTTAGACTCCGATTAACCAAACGCATTTGCTTTTGTGATTACATTTGAGACTGAAATTATATATATTTAGTTTACATTTCAAACATTTTTCACTTTTCCATACAATCGTTCACAAAATATAAATATAAATGTCAATGCAAACAAACCTTATCCTTGTGTTAGCGTAAGACTTCCGGACTGTAAATTATTGAACTATAAAACACTAAAAACTGTAGTTTCATTTAAAAATCATATGAACAGTAACAAATGAACATTGTAAAACCTCAAAATTTATATTTAACCAACCGTTCAATTCGGCAACGAAGTCAAACACCGTGTAACTGAAACTTAACCAATTTTCTTCTGATCAACCTTATTATATCCCTAGAGGTATTATATCCCCAGTGAAACTGTTGCTTCACTGTCCGTTTGCTCGATGTAAGCAGAAACATTTGATAATGTTTACCAATTTGTTGCAGCATCTACGTAGATTCTCTTATTTGAAATGGTCGGACCCGAGAGGCGCTCAACAGCTGACGAAATTTCAATTTGGTCACTTATCCTCGAATGAATTGCATCGATAAATCAATAATGTGTTCTGAATAATAGTTAAAAAGTGTAAGTAAACAACGTTATATAACTATTCATTTGGTGGAAAAAGCTAAACGGTACAAAACTTCAAATTTCTCTTGTAGGAGAATCACACATGACAGTAGTACCCAGCTTCTCTGTTTCTCTACGCTGTCTTCGTAGGTGGAGACATGTTATTGACAAGGGACCCCGTGACGATGATCACCAATATCTGCACCACCGCTCCTACATTCGAC